AAAGACCAATATGAATCACAAGAATAGGGCCTAATTACTTTGCAAATCCAAAATGCAGTTATGCTTGTGTCCAGTATAGTTAGTTTTGAGAAATGCACTGCTATAAATTTTAATGTGGCATTTACTTAAACTGCCAATGTTTTGCCTTTACAATGTTTAATTTTATAATCTTTACATTATCTTTAAAATTACTACTTTTTCTAAAAAACAATTGATATATGACCATGCCTCCATGTTTTGCTAAAATCAAAAGTAGTTTAAATTCATAGCAGGACTGCTTGCAAAAGCAAAAATTTGGAAATAACCTAAATAGCCATTAATAGAACAGACAGACTATAGTGTATTTACTCAAAAGAATACTACTCAGCATAAAAATTAATTAGCCACTGCTACATGTATCAACATGGGTGAATTTCACAAACATAATAATGTGTGAAAAAATGTAGAGGGATAGTTGCTGCATACCATTGATACCATGTTTTAAATATGTGAAACAATATTATATATTCTAATGTAGATGATAAATCCTGACAAAGTAAATAGACACAATTGGTAAATCTGGCCAAGAGTATATGGGAATTTTTTATATGATTCTTAGAACTTTTTTGTGAACTTGAAATTATATCATAATAAAAAGTCAAAAAAGTATAGATTACACACAAAAAAGTATAGATTTAAAGATACACACAACTGTAGTGGAATATAAGAAAATGAAGGGTAAAGAAATGAAAATTAAAGATAGTGGTTGCCTATCAAGAGGCAAGGAAGGAGGGGGGTGCAATTGCAGAAGGGTGACAAGGAATTTTAACTGCATACTCAATTTTAACTTCACCAGTTGTATGGTGGGTACACAATACATAATTATTCTTTATGCCATTTTGCATGTCTTAAATATTGTGTAAACTGAGTTTAAAACAAAAAAATTATTAACATCAGGGTACCTTATATTTTTTGAAAACCTAACCCACATTGTAACCATGACTATGTGTATGTACATGTACGTATACACACACACATACACACAGAGGGCTACATAATAAACTTTCCTTTTAAGTTGTAAAGGTGTATGTAGTTCAATGTATGTGTTTGGAAAACACAAAAGCTTACAACCTACTTACCTAGTCTGAATGAGAACTGTTTTAGGGGAGAAGCAGAAATAATTCCTTCCTGCTCCTGCTTTGGTGGTAAAAGAAGTTACTGGATTCCTGAATTAGTGTGTTAATTTCCTCATCAAAATGTTCCGTGTGGTGATAGGTTATAATATGAAATGATAGTTTATCAACAATAAAGCTTTGAATTTTATCAATGAGAAAATTGAGGACCTGAGAAATGACCTGTACAGGGTCATAAATTCTAATCTGTCTAAAACTCCCTTCCACAGACTTTGGTTGGCAATCTGAGGAAGGTCGACATATCAGAAAATCATGTCCCAGTTCCAATGTTTAAACAAAATCCTTCTGTAAGTTAGTGACTATTGTAAACCCTGAGAAAGAAGATACCTGCTAAGAAGGCCTCCTGGTGGTTAACTGGGCAAACAAAACAAAACAAAACTGGAGCATAGCAGCCCTTTTTACACAGGGGCCTCTCATGCAAACCCCACTTCACAGAGAGGCCTGCATTGAACTGCCTGCCTCTAAACTGAATTGTCTGTCTGTACTGTGTCCACTATCTGAACGAGCCCTTACACAGGAGTTCCTGGAATCTTATTTCAACCAATAGGACTGAAGCTTTCCCCATCCAATTGGAGCTGCACAGCTCTGACCAACCAGAACAGCTCTATTCTAACCAATCAGGACAGTGTATTTTGGACCAATCAAACTGAAAATTATTTGTGTTAGGACAGACTAATCTGGGATGGGTGGGAGGGATGGGTGTCTTTTGTCCTTATAAACCCGCTCCCACATGGCTCTGAGAGTTCACTTTCCTTTTCCACTACAGACTGAACATTTCATTTCCTTGGCTAAGCTGAAACACTGAAGACCTCTTGCAGCAGTAGAGTGAAGCAGAACAGCACAGGCCAGAGCAGACTGGCACAGAATGGAGCAGACCAGCAGCAGTGAAAAGTAGATCATCAAGAAGCAGAGGAGATCATATGGTATTTGTCTTTCAATGCCTGGCCTATTTCACTCAGCATAATGCTTTCCAGTTCCATCCATGTTGTTGCAAAGGGTAGTAGATCCTTCTTTCTCTCTGCTGCATAGAATTCCATTGTGTATATGTACCACAATTTTTTGATCCATTCATTTACTGACGGCCACCTAGGTTGCTTCCAACTCTTGGCTATTGTAAATTGTGCTGCTATGAACATTGTGGTGCATAGGTTCTTTGAAATTGATATTTTAGGATTCTTGGGATATAATCCTAGCAGTGGAATTGATCTCACCTTTAACAGGAAGCTAAACAACGAAACAAACAAGCAAACAGAATAAAAACAAAGACACTGAAATAGAGAACAAGTGGGCAGTGACCAGAGGGGAGAGGGAAGGGAATTCAAGGGGAAAAATGGGGAGGGATTTTGATGAACAAGAATGAAAGACACAGGGATGAGGACTGGGGGGGTGGGGATGGGAGGGAAGTGGGGAGACGGGGCAGGGGGGGCTGGGATGGGAGAAATAGACAAAAAACTGTACTTGAAAAATAACTAAATAAAATTTTAAAAAAAGAAGCAGAGGAGAGCAGACGATTGAGGTACAGAGCTGTCTAGCTCTCTGGCTAAAGAGGGGCCTGCCCTCAGGGCTGCCTCAGAGCTGTGCTTATCACAGTTGAGCTCTTTTGCACTAAATTAGGGATTCCTATTGGCATTGACGGACATCGGTTGCCACTTTTAAGTATAAAATCACTACCCCTTATTTTAAAAAATTATCCTGAGCCTATTTTCATGAACACTACACCACATTCAGAAATTATGAAGCCCTTCACAATCTGGCACCTCCTGACCTTTCCTGCCCCTCCTTCCCTTCCTCCCTCCTTTCCTTCCTTCCTTCCTTTCTTCCTTTTTTAATCTCTTAGTAGTCGTGAACCACTAATGATGCATGCATGCCTTTACACCCCCAAAAATGTAACTGACTCTTCAATATTCAGCTCACATATCACTTCCTCACTGAATACTTCTCTGCCTTTCCTTGCTGCACCTTGGCCATAATGATTGTACTGTTGTTGCTACAATTTATTTATGCATATGCCTGCCCCCCCCCCATTTCTGAGTGTAGGATGCTCATGTCTTAATCATCTCTGTATTCTTAATACCTGTCTGTAATGATGCTTGGCACATTAACATTGTTCAATATGGTTTCTGCAATTAAATGAATGCTTTGCTTAGTCCTAAATTACAAGTTTATAATAACTTTTTTCTTTTACATTTTGTAGATGTTAATAAACCACTCTCTTGGAGATTTTTTCCTACATATAAAAGTTATAAATCACCCAGAATCATTAACTTGATTTCCTTGCCTATAGCTTGATGCATTGTGGTACCCACTTCTCACTCCTACTCTTAAAATTAATTCCCAGTCACCATGTGCTTTTAGGAATTTGGTTACCATTCTTAGAGAATAACTGAAGCCAGAGATCACAAATTGGCTACTCACAGACTTCTTTTTCTATTTTTGTAAGTTATTAATAGTTGTCAACAAGCAAAGTTAATATATTCCAGCATCTATTGAAACTAATGAACAATATGGTAACAGTGAGCCCTTAATTCCCACGGTGACAACAATGTGCAGGACTTGAGTAGCCAGATGCCACCTCTCAGATGGCACATCTATTCTCATATTCCCCAGCCCACAGTTATCATTTATAATTTTCCCTATGCTGTTGCATTTCTCACCACTGCTTCTTTAATTATCCTATAGTCATTTAAGTTTGTGAAACCTGGTTTTTACCATTGCATCCCCATACCCTAATTTGTTTCAGCATTACCATCTTGTGCAGACACCGGTAGAAAATGGCTCAGAACACAGGCACCATCCTAAAATGTACTTTGAGTCTCCCATTAGTATGGACAGATGCCTGATTCATTTAAACTATTAAATAGTTTAAACTATTAAACTATAATCATCCCTCACACTAGACAATAATGGCCAGGTATATAGATGATGAAGCTAATAAGACATGCTTCTTTTTTCTTTCCTTTGAGTTCACAGTGTTTTGCGCTTCACCATGATTTACACTTTGCAAAGAGCTTTAAGATGCATTGTAGGTTATTAGTTTTGTGGAGGGGGAGGAATATTCAGGGCAATTACATTCCTGGCTTTAAATTTAAAAGAGTTGCCCTGACACTTGTGGCTCACTCAGTTGGTTGGGCATCCAGGTCCCCAGTGGGGGTGCTTATAACCAATTGATATTTCTCTCTCTCATCCATGTTTCTCTCCCTTTCCTTCTCCGTCCCTCCCTCTCTCTCTAAAAATAAATAAATGAAATTAAAAAATAAAGTTAAGAGAGTTGCCTGGGGATACATTCCATGTTTATTCAAGCTTTTTAAAGTGCTAGGCACCCTGGCTGGTGTAGCTCAGTGGATTGGGCACGGGCCTGCAAACCAAAGGATTGGTACGTGCCTGGGTTGTAGGCCACTTCCCGGCAGGGGACACACAAGAAGCAACCATATATTGATATTTCTCTCCCTCTCTCCTTCCATTCCCATCTAAAGATAAATAAATGAAATCTTAAAAAATAAATTTAAAGTGCTAGGAACTATGCAAGGTTCTAGGAAGACAACTCAAAACAGAGAAATGGCATACTTCTACCTTTCTGGAGCTTACATTCTAGTAGGGAGGCAAATGATCAAGTCGTTCTGAGAATAAGAGCACCATGATGGTTACTAAACTGAATAATGTCACAGAGTGAGAGGCAGAGAGTCTTAGCTGGGTAGAGATGGTCTCTATCAGGAGACAACTGTAAGCTGAGCCCTGCTGGCAAGAGCTGACCCCAGGGTGACTCAAGGGAAGCACTACATGAAGACAAGACTTTGGACACCCCACATTTCCCGGCCACTCTGTACTTACAGGAGTGCTGTCCCGGCTTGAGATAGGGCGCCTTTCTGTTGAGAGGGACCGCCAGGCCTGGTGGCTGTCAAGGACATTCTGGAGTCCAGAGGGCGTGGGGCGAGCAGGCAGCTGTCGGCTGGCTGGCTGGCAAGGGGCCTGATTGACCCGCACTGCCTAATATGGGCAAGGTCCGTGCCCCGCAGAGGGTAGAGGAGGAGGGAGGGTGCTGGAAGGTCCTCTGAGGTGACATCTACTGGCCCTCACAGCCCGGGCAGCGAGAAGCCACGCCCTCCAAGCACTGGGAACCTGTCTGCGCCGACCAACGCCTTCCCGGCTGGTGCCAGACAGACTCACCAGCTCCAAAAGACACTCTGCACCTGCGCCAGTTGACAGCGTGCCAGGACGACTGAAGATGGGGGGGGGGCGCATTTTGTTAAATGACAAATCCTATCCATTTAATCTTCTTTTTTTTAAATGAAATTTTATTTTAATTGTAGTTCAAGTACAGTTTTCTGTTTTTTACTCCCATCCCAGCCCACCTCCCCAGTTTTCCCCACCTCCCTCCCATTTCCAAACCGCCTAGTTTTTGTCCATGTGTCCTTTATACTTGTTCCTGTAAACCCTTGCCCTTTTCCCCTGAAATTCCCTCCCTTCTCCCCTCTGGTCAGCCTGTTCTCTATTACAATGTCTTTGGTACTATTTTTCTTGTTTGCTTGTTTTGTTGTTCAGGTTCCTGTTACAGGTGAAATCACATGGTATTTGTCTTTCATGGTCTGGCTTATTTCACTCAGCATAATGCTTTCTAGTTCCATCCACACTGTTGCAAAGGGTAGGAGCTCCTTCTTTCTTTCTGCTGCATAGAATTTCATTGTGTAAATGTACTATTGTTTTTTGATCCATTCATTTACTGATGGGCACCTAGGTTGCTTCCAGCAGTTGGCTATTGTAAATTGTGCTGCTATGAACATTGGGGTGCATAGGTTCTTTTGGATTGATATTCCAGGGTTCTTATGATATAATCCTAGCAGTGGAATTGCTGGATCTAATGGCAGTTGCATTTTTAGTTTTCTGAGAAAATTCCATACTGTTTTCCATAGTGGCTTTACCTGTCTGCAATCCCACCAACAGTGCACTAGTGTTCCCTTTTCTCCACAACTTCTCCAACACTAATTTGTTGCTTTATTTATGATTCTGACTGGTGTGAAGGGGTGCCTCATTGTGGGTTTAATTTGCATCTCTCTGATAGTTAGTGATACTGAGCATCTTTTCATGTGTCTCTGGATCCTCTGTATGTCTTCCTTGGAGAAGTGTCTGTTCAAGTCCTTAGCCCACTTTTTAATTGGGTAGCTTGTCTTCTTAGAGTGGAGTCGTGTAAGTTCTTTATATATTTTGGAGATTAAGCCCTTGTCTGAGGTATCACTGGCAAATATGTTTTCCCATACTGTTGGCTCTCTTTTTATTTTAATTCTGTTTTCTTTAGCTGTGCAGAAGGTTTTTATTTTGATGAGATCCCATTTGTTTATTCTTTCCTATGACTCTTGCTCTAGGGGTCATATCAGTCCCCTAGAAAATGTTGCTGCGTGAAATATCTGAGATTTTCCTGCCAATGTTCTTCTCTAGGATTTTAATGGTGTCACAGCTTATATTTAAATCTTTTCTCCACCTTGAATTTATTTTGGTGTATGGTGTAAGTTGGTGGTCAAGTTTCATTTTTTTGCATGTGTGTGTCCAGCTCTCCCAACACTGTTTGTTGAAGAGGCTATTTTTACTCCGTTTCATGTTGCTGTCACATTTTTTAATATTTTAATTGACCATAGAGACTTGGGTTTATTTCTGGGCTCACTGTTCTGTTCCACTGGTCCATGTGCCTGTTTTTATGCCAGTACCAGGCTGTTTTGATCATAGTGGCCTTGTAATACAGTCTGGTATCAGGTATTGTGATCCTTCCTACTTCGTACTTTTTTTTTTAAATTGCAGCACCTATTTGGGGTCACTTATGGTTCCATATAAATTTTTGAAGTATGTGTTCTATGTCTGTGAAATATGCCATTGGTACTTTAATAGGGATTGCATTCAATCTGCAAATTGCTTTGGGTAGCATGGACATTTTGATGATGTTAATTCTTCCAATCCATGAACACTGTATGTTTTCATTTGTTTGTGTTGTCCTTGATTTCTTCCTTCAGTGTTGTGTAGTTTTCTGAATACAGGTTTTTTACCTCCTTGATTGGGTTTATTCCTAGGTATTTTATTTTTCTTGTTGCTATATCAAATGGGATTTTTTTCTTGATTTCTTAAATCATCTCATCCAATGCCATTGTGTGCTGGGAGTTTTTTGAATAGTGCTTTGATTTTATCATCTGCTACTTGTCTGTTCAGGCTTTCTGCTGCTTCTTCTTTCAGTTGTGAGAGGATATATTTTTTCTAAAATTTGTCCATTGCACCCAGGTTTTCAAATTTCTTGGCATATAGTTGTTTGTAGTAATTTCTTTTTTAAAATATATTTTATTGATTATGCCACTAAAGTTGTCCCATTTCCCCTCTTCATTCCCCTCCACCCTGCACACTCCCTCCCCCACTATTCCCCCCACTTTAGTTTATGTCCATGTGTCACAAGTTCTTTAGGTTCTATATTTCCCACACTATTCTTGCCCCCCCATCTATTTTCTACCTACCATCTATTCTACTTATTCTCTGTACCTTCTCCCTCCTTCTCCTCCTCCCATTCCCCTGTTGATAACCCTCCATGTGATCTTCATTTCTATGGTTCTGCTCCTGATATAGCTGTCCTCTTAGTCTGCTTTTGTTTTAGGTGTGGTTGTTAATAACTGAGTTTGCTGTCCTTTCACTGTTCATCTTTTTTTATCTTCTTTTTCTTAGGTAAGTCCCTTTAACATTTCATATAATAAGGGCTTGGTGATGATGAACTCCTTGAATTTGATCTTATCTGAGAAGCACTTTATCTGCCCTTCCATTCTGAATGAAAGCTTTGCTGGATAGAGAAATTTTGGATGTAGGTCTTTGGATTTCATGACTTGGAATACCTCTTTCCAGCCCCTTCTTGCCTGTAGGGTCTCTTTTGAGAAATCAGCTGACAGTCTAATGGGAACTCCTTTGTAGGTGACTGTTCCCTTATCTCTTGCTGCTTCTAGGATTCTCTCCTTCATTTTTATCTTGGGTAATACAATTATGATGTGCTTTGGTGTGTTCTTTCTTGGGTTCATCTTCTTTGGGACTCTCTAAGGTTCCTGGACTTCCTGGAAGTCTATTTCCTTTGCCAGACTGGGGAAGTTCTCCTTTATTATTTGTTCAGAAAAATTTTCCACTTGTTGCTCTTTCTCTTCCCCTTCTGGTACCTCTATAATTCAGATGTTGGAACATTTAAAGATGTCCTTGATGTTCCTAAGCCTCTCCTCATTTTTTTTGAATTCTTGTTTCTTCATACTTTTCTGTTTGGTCATTTTTTTCTCTTTCTGGTCCACTCCTTTGATTTGAGTCCCAGTTTCCTTTCCATCACTATTGGTTCCCTGTGCATTTTCTTTAATTTCTTTTAGCCTTGATTTGTTCCTCTAATTTGTGACCAATATCAACTAGTTCTGTGAGCTTCCTGATCACCAGTTTTTTTTTAAAGATTTTATTTATTTATTTTTAGAGAGGAAGTGAAGGAGAGAAGGAGAGAAATATCAATATATGGTTGCCTCACGTGAGTCCCCTGCTGGGAACTGGCCTGCAACTCAGGCATGTGCCCTGACTGGGAATTGAACCTCGATCATGTGGTTTGCAGGCCCGTGCTCAATCCACTGAGCTACACCAGCCAGGGCTTCCAGTGTTTTGAACTGTGCATCTGATAGGTTAGCTATCTCTTGGTCACTTAGAAGTATAGGCTCTGGGGCTTTAAGGTGTTCTTCTTGAGCCAAAATGTTTTGGTCTCTTCATGTCTGTTACATATGAGGGGCAGAGCCTTATATGTTCAACAGGGTGGGATAACCCAGTCCCTGGGTTGTGATGCTGAATGTGGGGGTGGGGTCAGAGAGGGGCAATGGCTTTTGTTCTGCTCTCTCTCGGACCTTGGACCCCTCTGCTGCTTCCTACAAGCAAATTGGGCCTCATGGTACCGGCTCCCAGGTGTGTGGGCCTGTGCACCCACCAGGACTCTGTGGGTCTCTCCAACAAACTCTCTGTGAGCCTGGGAGCTTCTTCTGGCACCTAGACCCCGAGAGTTTTCCAATAGGTACTTTTAGGCTTGAATTCTTGTCACTGGGGAGCTAGCCTGCATGGTCTGTCTCACTGCATGATCATTCTTCTGCCTGGTTTATCTGCTCACAAATGTGTGACCGCGGTCAGCCAGCCACCTTACGCCCTCACTGCGTCTGCCTGTTGCCACCCCATGCCTGGGATCCGCCAACCACCGCCTGCACTCCTGGGTCAGTCCTGCGGCTTTTACCTGACCTACTCCGCCAGCTGCTGACTCTGCCCCTCTTGCCAGTCAGGCTGAATGGTTCTTTGTTGTCAGACTTCTGTACAGTTCAATTTTCTGTGTTTTAGTTGCGTTTTTTGTTACTAAAACTTTGTTGTCTTTAAACTTGGTTTTGAGAGGAGGCACAATGTTTCCACCTACGCCTCCATCTTGTCCAGAAGTCTGTTTGTAGTAATTTCTTACAATCATTTGTATCCATATGGTATCAGTTGTGAGCTCTCCTCTTGCATTTCTGGTTGTGTTTATTTGAGTCCTTTCTCTTGCTTTCTTGATGAGTCTGCTTAAAGGCTTGTCAAATTTGTTTCTTTTGGAAGAGTCAGCTCCTGGATTTATTGATCCTTGGGATTGTGCTTTTAGTATGTATGTCATTTAATTATGGTGTAATCTTTGTTATTTCCTTCCTTCTAATCACTCTGGGATTTTTTGCTGTTCCTCCAGTTTTTGTAGATGTAGAATTAGGTTTCATATTTCAAATGTTTCTATTTTTTTAAGGTAGGGCTGTATCACTATGAACTTCCTTCTCAGGACTGCCTTTGCCGTGTCCCATAAGTGTTGAACTGTTGTGTGTTCATTTTCATTTGTTTCCAGATACTTTTTGATTTCTTCTTTGATCTTAATCTTGACCAAT